TCTTTCGAAAAGTTTGGATGGGCAGTTACGAAAACTAAACTTAGAGGAAAAATTGTTGATTAATCGCGTTGACATGCTTATGAGGGTGTGATATCGTCAAAGGTGGTGGCGAAAGCCACGGGCTAGATTTCTAAATCCGCCAACAGGCCATTGAGTTGAACGCATGACGGAACCAAACAACTCGAACGGAAATATCCGTGTTATTAAATTTTCAACCTTGGATATTTCATCTCTAGTGTTAAAAGTTTTTTTGCATTTGCATGAAAAAGGAACGACTGGAACGATGTCAACGGCAATTCGGAAATGTTTTCAAAGAAAGATAATGATTCCTTTTGGCAACCTTAATGCATAAGCAATTCTTACACGTTTAAGGCTTACAACTAATACCCATCGTCATGCACCCCTAAAATCATCGATCATCGTTGCATGAATCTGCTGCGGATTTAAAAGTGTCATCTACAGTGGCAAAGCAGGACTTGATCTAAACCCTAACCCAGCGCAAGATGGACGATTTATTACTTTATTTATTAAGTGTAAATAGTTGGCACAAATAAATCGCACACAAACAATAGAATTGAATCAAGATGGCGGCGGCGGCGGCGGGACGAGCCCACAGGTTCGTTCTCTCATCGGTAACATCACTTCAACTTATTAACTTGATACTTGCTCTATTGCCCTTTCGATGTGACTTTGAAATGGTTCATCTGTACAGCACTGAAAGTAAGATTGTCTGGTTCTAGAAGCACCTGAAGCCTATGTTCGCTGTTCTCCAAAGTCAAAGTCCCTTATTATTCAAATCCCACCTCGTCCTTTGCCATCAACTGCATTTTGTTACTATTGTGGCTCAAAGTCCAGGCAGGAAACTACAAGTCATTCCTGATATGCACGGCTTATAAGCTTCTTTCCACGACTAAAGGTTACTTTGATGTTATTTCTGCTATTCATATCTTAGGCGACCTGAACTACATTCTTCTAAAGTCATCTGATCCTGCTTTACAAGCTCTCATCAACTTCTGTATTTCACTTAATTTAACTCAATTGATAAATCAGCCTACAAGGATCACTGAGTCATCTGCAACTTTGATGAATGTCATCCTCGCGTCGAATAAAAACCTAGTAAGAGATAAAAAGGTCATATCTGTTTCTATTAGCGACCACTAGTTAGTTTATGCTGTTCTTAAACTTCGGCGACAACGTCCCAAGTAGGTATACCTTATGAATAAGAATTTCAAGAATTATCAACATAAGGCTTTTCTCCAAGATATTTCTCAAGTCCCTTGGTCTGCTGTCGACTGTTTTGACAGCATCGAACATAGCCTTAATGCGTTCAATCTTTTATTCAAAGAAGTCCTGGATGAACACACACCAAAAAAAAAAAAAAAAAAAAAAAAAAAGATGAAATTACTGAGCCGATTAAACCTGTATATTACGGACAAAGTAAGAGAACTTATGAAAATAAGGGAGTATTGGCGGAAGTTAGCGAGAAGAACCGGCGATCCAGACGCTTGGATGAAATACAGGAGTCTTAAACGCAAAGTTAAGAGGGAAATTAGACAGACAGAACGCGAGTCCATAGCGGATCAAGTCAAGAGATCATGTATTCCTAAGAAGTCTACCAGCCAGAGATCGTTTAGCGGGGATGATAAGACGGTAGCTGACGAGTTTAATCGTTTCTTTACCTCGGTTGGACATGCTGACAAAATTAATTCACTCGTTTTGTCAATGTAATTACGACCTCTCAAAGCCAACTCTTGTTCCATCGAAACACCTAAAGGCCAATCAAATTAATTGGTGCTTCGATAATCGTCTTCTTCTCAACCCCGATAAGACGGAGCTCATGCTATAGGGAAGTTGCCGAATACTCTCCAACCTCCATGACGTCCGTCTTTCTTCGTTGGGGAATGATCTTATACCCGCAAAAGCCATTAAAGATCTTAGCGTTACATTTGATCCGAACCTCACTTTTTACGATCACATCCTTAAAACTGTTTCGTCCTGTATGCCCGGCCAGCCTTACTCAAATCAGTCGTGTTAAGCATATGTTTGATAAAAATACTCTAATGGCAATAATTAATGCCCTCGTATTCAGTAACCTGTTTATCGTTCATCCGTTTGGTCGAATACAGCAACCACACATCTACTTAAGCTTCAAGCTGAACAGAACTTCGCCGCCCGGATAATCCGCGACACCGGGAAGTTCGATAACGTAACTCCAATCTTGAAGGATTTACACCGGCGGCTTCCAGTCAAATCGCAGCTATGCTATCGCGATGCTGTACTTTCATTCAAATGTAT